AGGTGTGGAGAGAGCTGTGTGCGGGCGTCTCAAGATAGGGTGGTTGAGCTGTTGGCTTTGTCTTGAGTGGCTTGAGTTACCTCAGTGTAGCCGGTGTGGTCACATTCCTCGACCAGAGTTGGGACAGTGTGACCTGCTACTGTGGTCACACCCTCACGGACCATGTCACACCCTCACGGACCATGTCACACCCTCACGGACCATGTCACACTGAAGCACTTAACACCATCGCTTTACCTTGCTCTGCTGTTTTATAATGGAGTCTTTGTTCTAGGCGTTGATTCTATAGTGTTTCTGTTTTATACGCATAAATTTATCACATTCCTGGTTTAGCTTTATTTTTCTAAATAATATTTCCATATATATTTCCTGCAGTGATGGGCAGAGTCGTCCATCAAATATAAATACTCTTTTGTTCCAGAGGAATAGAATGAGATTTTTTTATTATGCAATCGTAAAATGCTTCTGTTTTGGTTTTGAAAAGATCATGGTGGTTGATTACTATTATGGAGGCTCGGCACTCAGCTCTTGGGTTCCCTGCTCTACTGGCACCGGAAGCTGCGTAGGCTCCGAGGGGACCAACCTCTAGAAGTTGGCACGCACTTCCTCACAAATGTCCTTTATGAGTTTTGTTCATGGTCTCCCTCTCTCGCTTTTCTTGGTCAAGTTGCTGTAATTTTCCAATTAATATGGCTATGTGGCAACTCCAGTAGTCTTGTGTGTGTGTGTGTGTGTGTGTGTGTGTGTGTGTGTGTGTGTGTGTGTGTGTGTGTGTGTGTGTGTGTGTGTGTGTGTGTGTGTGTGTGTGTGTGTGTGTGGTGCTAAGAGTTGATAATTAGTTGTCCATCACCAGTCTCAAGTTTCGTCATTAGTGGATCGACGTCTTGGCTTTAATTAATAGTAGAGCCAAAGGAAACCTGTCCACCATAGAGGACGCCCTCAGAGGTGCTCCTCTGGCAGGGAGGTGCTCCTCTAACCCCTCCCCAATCTCGTCCTCGCTCAAGGTGCACCTCCACCCCTAGACACACAATTTAAACGTACTATTCAAAATTAATATTTGTAAAATAAAAGGTATTATCGTTATATATTATAATTTGGTGTATAGTTGTGCCGAGGTTAGGTTAGGTGTTTAGGTTCAGTTGGCAATTATTTGTATCTGTAGTACGTAGGGAAAGCACTTTTCAGAGTTGCGGTTCGAACAGCGGTCGTCAGTGACGCATGTTCGAACGACATCATTTGTGGGTCGTGTGTAAAGTGTCTTTCATTCGTAAACAAGGGGTTTGGAAGGAATAAACATTTGGACCGTCTTGACGAGGACGGGCTTCGGTTTATGGAGTGCAATTCGAGCACAGGATGAGTGCTTATTAATGACTGAGAAACGTTCGAGTGTCCTATGTTGTGACTCGTATGTGAAGCATTGGAAACGCAAACCGAAACTGTCTCTATTTTCCGCTTGTTACAACTTGTAATAAAGTTGTTACATCTTGGCTTAACGTGTTTATGACGTATTAGAACGTTGTTACAACTTGCTATATAGGTTGTTAGAAGTGGTTAGGTGTTAAAACTTGTTCGAACGTTGTGCCAACGTCGTAGTTTCGGTGTCTGTTTGGCGGGGCAGACCGACATCACCAACAATGGTCAAATGCTCGTTAGTCCAGCCGCCAAAGTCACAAAGTTTACGAATGACCTTACATACGACTCACAGTTGATGATGTTTTGAACTTGACAGTCTCGTTCTCATCCCATGTTCGAACCTTGTCTCTAAATGCTTCACCCACCTACAACAAATATAAATAATTAGCAACAGAACCTGAACAACTAACTTAACCTATCCTCGGCCTAACTATACAAGAAATTATAATATATAATACAAGCATAACATTTACCCGAATTAACACGAGAGACACAATGTATCTAGTGACCTTGACGGGGACAGGATGCTGGCGGCTGTCAATAATTCCCACATTTTTCCTGAGGATCTGTTTCCAGCTGGATTCTGAAGTGCAATAATATCTTATCATTTACATCTTCGGCAGGTAGGCGGTTCCATGGGTCAATGTTTATGAGGATGGCTGAGGTTTGGACCGACCTGTGCCCGGACCTCTTGCATGGTCCCGTGTTTCACAACCGCGCAGGGCGAGACGTTCGGCAGTGTTTCTCTACACCTGATGCCTCTAGTCACCCAGCAGTAAATAGGTACCTGAGAGTTTGGCAGTTGCTGTGGGTTACACATTGGGAAAGGTCAGTCATCGGCCTACCGGGACCTACACAGTGCTCTCGTCCCACACTCAGCCTACTGCTTCATTTCTGACAAAATTAGGTTTGATGCGGCTGACTGGTTGTGTGGTGAGGATGGTGGCCATCACCGACAACCAGTTCCCCACAAATTCACAGAGTACAGCCCCCTCTCGTGGACTAGTATCCCCCAATCATTATCACACTAACAACAAGAACCTTCTCCAGACATCAAATAGCCTCCTCCTGTCTCCCCACACCCGCACACCCCGTCCCCCCTCTACTCTCCCCTCTGGACCTCAGCTCGGGGGTGGTGCATCCCGTGCTGGGGTCAGTAATCTGAGGGGACAGTTTAATGTAACGAGGGAATGGGTTTTATGTCGGGTGATGTCTGCCATAAGGGGTGAGGGCTAGTTACACCAGGCTCCAGTTGCCTCGCGGCCCGCTGGGCTAGTGTCCCAGCAGTCTAAGCCTTGTCGAGGGGTGCAGGAGGGAGGGGAGTGGCGTGGAGTGTAGTGTTGGTGGGGGGGGAGTGGCCATGGGTGCCCAGCGTGACGGCTGTAATAGTCTTATCTCATGACTGGAGTTTTGCCGCCGTGCTTGGACCATGTTTAGAGCGGAGTCGACCCCATGTTGTCATGTGAAGCTCCTCCAGTCCGGAGGCTGTGATGGGGTCCTGGCCAGGCGGCCACTACCACAACACACCAGCCACATCGCCCTCCATAACAACATTAACAATTCAATAACATATCATCTATGTTCAAGAAAACATTTAAATTAACCAGCATTTTAGAACGCAGTGAACATACATGATGGTGATACAGTCTCCTCACTCACTCAAGACTGGTTGAGTAGTGTAACAGTACTCACCACAGGTAAACACACTGCCCCATCCCCCCATCCACCCCCCACTGCAACATCCGGTCTAGCTGCCTCCCTTGCACACCATTTCATGATATATGCAAATGACTTAAAGGAGGAAGCGGAATCCTACAAGTCGATGTTCACAGGAGATGCAGAGTTGACGGAGAGAATGGGAAGTATTATATATATATATATATATAATACTTAACTAATATTATATATATGTGTCCCTGAGACTAAACCACTGTGTGGTGATGAACCCTAATGGTGAAGGAGAACCCAAGTACCGTACACAATAAACCAGAAATCCTGACCAAGATCGGAGAAGGAACAAGCTCTACGAGTCAAAACAGGCGACGATACACATTATCAAAATAACATCAGCAGCATATGCGTGAGGCCGGCAAACATCCTCCTATCATTCAGGAACCGAGACCAGAGAGCTGTAAACCAACTATTTAAGCGTGGACAACACTGGAGTACGCAGCCCCCGTTCTGTAGCTTCCGTTTAAAGACAAACAAATCAGAGTTTATAAAAAGCTGAGAAGTTTGCCACCCAAAACAGAGGTGTTTGTGAATGGTGGAACAACTGAAGGAACTTTACTTCACAATGCTGATGGTGACATGTAAGGCTGATAAAGACTCCGGCGGGTTATAAAGGATAATATATCTAGAAACTGTAGCAAGACTCGAGTGTGAGAATAGTGGAGAGGCGTAATGTGTGCAGAGGCAAGAAAACGGCACTGAAACTGTTCCGAGTTATGATACACGGCAAGAGGGTCGGGCGCCATTGCATTAGGTGACAGACAATAGAGAAAGGCGGGGTCAAAGAGCTTATTCGGGACGGTGGAGGCACAGCTAAGAGAGTACACAGAGAATTTGCTGGCGTGTTCACCCCTAGAGCACCGCACCTACCCCCCGGGGACACATATATATATATAGAGCCTGGCTGGGGCTTTACGCTAGTTCCTCTCCACTCATTTAATTAAGAATATGAAATTTGAGAGGCTTCTGGTGTCCATTTAATATATCGTGTTGAAATGTTGCAGTGCAATTTGCCGCAAAAGACCATAATACTGGCACTGTTGGCTACTGTCACTGAACCCAAGACCAACGTGTATAATTTTCATTCATAACTCGTCAGCTCCTCTCGGATTTTCACTAATGTGTTTATACATTATCTAAATTATTCACTTTTTTTGTATTACATAATTATGATATTTTACGGTAATGTGACCAGCATTTAGGAGCTGCTGAAATGAATTTAATTTGAATAATCTGAAACATTGCCGTGTTCTGTAGCTTGAATTACCAGGGATTGTGAGAGCGTGCCTAAGTGTATATTAACTATTTGTGCTTACAGGATCCAGCTGTCAGCTCTTGGACCCCGCCTTTCTAGCCATCAGCTGTCTAATGTACTGATTCACGACTTATATTTGTTTTCTATCTTATCTATTGTATATTTACTTGTCATATGTGTTCTTATGTAATATCTCAATATCAGTAATGATAATGTCTCATTATCTTCGTATATTTTGTTAAAGTCTTCTAGTATCTCATCGGGTTGCTAGTTGCCTTTCATTCAATATTTAGACCTTTTCCTTGTTGCCAATTCTCATTATTCCAATTATTGAAGCTAATCTCCTAGACCATTGTTATGATGACTGAAGCTTCTCAACTCTCAGTATCAACCCTCCACGACCCTCAACCTTCAACAATCGCTGATCCATAATTGCCTCTCCTAAATTTTTGCACCGTTTTACTATCGACAAAATATGAGACTCACAGTTCATTTTTTTTTAAAGGGAAATGAAGTGATATGAGAAACAAGAAACTATGCCATCATTCGTAAATTACTGTATACTAGCGGACACTTGACTGGCACTTGACTGGCACTTGACTGGCACCGCACAAGGCAGGCTATAACCAGCCAAAGCTCCCGGCACCGTGGCTCATGAACCTGCTCAATAAAATAGAATTATCTGTGGATTCTCTGACGCGTCCATCCGCCTCAAGCAACTGTGGCTTCCCGCTGGAGGTTGTGTATAGATGAACCCTGGACCCTGGCATACATATATTATATATATATATGTGTGTGTGTATGTGCGAGTGCGTGCGTGTGCGCGTGTGGCTGGAGGAGCGCTCAACTGCCCCAACACACACACGGACGCCCATAATTACAGATACACAGGACGTCCCATCCGGCACTGTTTGAAAATTCGACATAATGTTTTGACATTTCATGTATGCCTGTCACAAGTTATTGTGAAACAACAACATTATGGCAACACGCCATTGTGTAGAGACGTCACGCGACAGCTCCAGCGACACGCCATTGTCCGCTGACGTCACGCCATAACCATGATTTTTCCCCCCAAATCTGTACACCGAGTCATTATTTCTACACAACAGTGTAGGCATGATGTGTTAGTACACATCTGGGGACCAGGATGCTGGAGGGAGGGAGGGAGTTTTCAGGAGAAAGCACCAAGCCACTACGACTATATAGCACTTGGATAGGGTCAGGATAAGGATTTGGGACGGGACTGGGGGAAAGGAATTGCGGAGGGGTTGGTTATACACCCGCGAGTCCTCACAAACTTAACAAACCCAACCTCCAGAGGTCTCTGGGGGTTACTGTAATGTTATGAGAAAATATTTCAATCTTCAGTGCCGCACATGGCTTGTGTGGTGTGACGTACGTGATGGCTGCACCTCTCCCGGGTTGGGGTAGAGGCGCCGTGTCCACACACACATTATGTAAATATGAAGACTGGAGTCGTGCCCGTGGGCCCCAGGCGCCGGTGATGCCCTCATTAGGGCGTCCAGCCTGCAGGGTCCCTCCGGCCGGTGTCTCTCTCTCTCTCTCTCCGGCTGTCATCAGCCTACGGAGCCCCACCTCACAGCCGCCCCGCAGGCCGTCAACCCCGTCACAGCCGCCCCGCAGGCCGTCAACCCCGTCACAGCCGCCCCGCAGGCCGTCAACCCCGTCACAGCCGCCCCGCAGGCCGTCAACTCCCCGTCACAGCCGCCCCGCAGGCCGTCAACCCCGTCACAATCACCCCGCAGGCCGTCAACCCCGTCACAGCCGCCCCGCAGGCCGTCAACCCCGTCACAATCACCCCGCAGGCCGTCAACCCCGTCACAGCCGCCCCGCAGGCCGTCAACCCCGTCACAATCACCCCGCAGGCCGTCAACCCCGTCACAGCCGCCCCGCAGGCCGTCAACCCCGTCACAGCCGCCCCGCAGGCCGTCAACCCCGTCACAGCCGCCCCGCAGGCCGTCAACCCCCGTCACAGCCGCCCCGCAGGCCGTCAACCCCGTCACAGCCGCCCCGCAGGCCGTCAACCCCGTCACAGCCGCCCCGCAGGCCGTCAACCCCGTCACAGCCGCCCCGCAGGCCGTCAACCCCGTCACAGCCGCCCCGCAGGCCGTCAACCCCGTCACAGCCGCCCCGCAGGCCGTCAACCCCGTCACAATCACCCCGCAGGCCGTCAACCCCGTCACAGCCGCCCCGCAGGCCGTCAACCCCGTCACAATCACCCCGCAGGCCGTCAACCCCGTCACAGCCACCCCGCAGGCCGTCAACCCCGTCACAGCCACCCCGCAGGCCGTCAACCCCGTCACAATCACCCCGCAGGCCGTCAACCCCGTCACAGCCACCCCGCAGGCCGTCAACCCCGTCACAATCACCCCGCAGGCCGTCAACCCCGTCACAGCCACCCGCAGGCCGTCAACCCCGTCACAATCACCCCGCAGGCCGTCAACCCCGTCACAATCACCCCGCAGGCCGTCAACCCCGTCACAGCCGCCCCGCAGCCCATTAACCCCGTCACAATCACCCCGCAGGCCGTCAACCCCGTCACAGCCGCCCCGCAGGCCGTCAACCCCGTCACAGCCGCCCCGCAGGCCGTCAACCCCGTCACAGCCACCCCGCAGGCCGTCAACCCCGTCACAATCACCCCGCAGGCCGTCAACCCCGTCACAATCACCCCGCAGGCCGTCAACCCCGTCACAATCACCCCGCAGGCCGTCAACCCCGTCACAATCACCCCGCAGGCCGTCAACCCCGTCACAGCCGCCCCGCAGGCCGTCAACCCTGTCACAGCCGCCCCGCAGGCCGTCAACCCCGTCACAGCCGCCCCGCAGGCCGTCAACCCCGTCACAGCCGCCCCGCAGGCCGTCAACCCCGTCACAGCCGCCCCGCAGGCCGTCAACCCCGTCACAGCCGCCCCGCAGGCCGTCAACCCCCCGTCACAGCCGCCCCGCAGGCCGTCAACCCCGTCACAGCCGCCCCGCAGGCCGTCAACCCCGTCACAGCCGCCCCGCAGGCCGTCAACCCCGTCACAGCCGCCCCGCAGGCCGTCAACCCCGTCACAGCCGCCCCGCAGGCCGTTGTAACAAACTAGGCTGTTGTAAGAATTATCCAGAGTGGTTTATCGACAAAAGAGAATGGGAAGCTGAGCCGCATGGTGATCTGACCCCCAGGGGAATTCGCGGTGGAAATAACCAACGCTTTGTTCATAGCTGCGTATAATGAATCATCCTATAGTATTCAGTAATTTAGAGAAATTAGCCTTTATTCATTTTGCATTAAAATTGTATTGTATAATAGTACTGGATACAATATCAAGAGTATTCTAATTATTGAGTTTAAGTCACCATCAGTGACGTCACGAATCAGATCTAACTTTTAAAGCGGAGTGACCGGCGGTCATAGGTCATCAGGGGTTGACAGGTCTACTATTTCTCAAAGTTTTAATAACCATTTTTGGGATCGGGAACAGCTCTGCCGTTAGATGTTTGTAATTTAATTCAGTAAAATAATTCAACCAGTCTGGATCAATTCAGTATAAACAGAGTTTAATTGTTATAACTTAAACCTTGCTAGTAACTGGGTAAGCGATGCGGAACAATACAATGTTCTAGTCTGGGCGAGATCAGACGAGGACAGATCAGTGTGGTCACGGAAGCAGCTAGGAGAGGTCAAACATCTTACCTCTCCCCTAGACCAGCCAAGACATCCAGCTGGTCGCCCAAGGTATAGTTGCTATTGTTAAGTATAGAAATAGTCTCATTTGCCACTCAGGTCAAGTAGGGAGTGTTAAAGTGATAGGGAGTGAACATATTTAGATTTTGTTTTAGTTTTCTTTTAATAAATTAAATTTGTTATTAATTTGCATTTTATTGTTTCCATGTGTTTTATGTGTATACTTGTCCTGGTCACGTGGTCCACACGAGGCAGAGTTGCATTGGGCGCCGATTCTAACATCGAATCGGAATTATCATTACCGTGTAATTTATTCCACACTCAAGGTCATCGTTATAGTGGGGATCAAGCCCCTAGGTTGATTAATTAGCGTGATCGATCCAGACCTCGATCATTGCTCTTGTATTACTGGTCTGGTGGTGGCAGCAGAGGTGACTCTAGGGTTTTGTTCAGAGCTTAGGTCACGTCATACTGGGTGTAGAATCCTAAGTCGGTCAATCGTCTTAGGACCACGTGGCGTGGAGTTGGCTTTGGTAAAAGTTTTGGAGTCCCTGGGTTTAGAAATAAAAGTAAGAATACGGGTAGAGGGAGTAGAAAGAAGGAAGTAAAGAGAGAGGAACCTAAACCCGTGTTACAATGGTGCACAGCGGTGGTTTCAACAATTTTGTTTGAAATTGTTGAAAGGCTCACGCGTCTAGCCGTTCGAACACGTGCGTGGATGCTAAGGAGACAGCCGCGGGCCAGGATTAGCAGTGCGCCCCACAAGTGCGTTTGAGTGGGGATTGGCGAATCTTGGGTCATGCGGGCTGATATGATTAAGGTTAGTTAGTAAGATTAGACTGTTAAAATAGATTTATTGAAAAGGAGACCGCTCCGAGTTGATTGGACTGGGTACCATACTCGACCCATTGCAATTAATTCAGAGGTGTTGGGAGCCACCATACTCTCAACAGCAGTTCCTTGAGGGCTGTCGGGGGCGGATATATCTGTGGGACGCCAGTAGATAGTCCGAGGGCGTTATTAGACGACCCAAAACGCTAAGGAAAAACGTAATCCGTGAAGGGCGTTGCGGCCTCCGAGGGACGGACTAGTAAACTACCTAGCAGCGATTCAACAACTAAGTGATCGCACACTTAGTGGAGGTTGAGTCGTCCCTAGTCATAATTGTTGCTGAAAGCTGCGTGTCGCTCTGTTGGAACCTAGATGGTGTGGCCTCTAGGCTAGGTGTGGTACGGCGAGCCGGTAGGAACAATTATAAGTTTAAGTCGAGTGCATTTTTGAATTAAGTATACTTAAATTTATAAAGTAATTTCCGTTTATTTGCGTTGTTCTAGATTAATTTTTTCCCCTAAATTCAATCCCCGGTTAAAATTTTTCCCAAGTGTTTAGCGTTTTCTTGCATATTAGGCTAAGTGCGTACGTTAAGTTTTGTTATTCCCTGTTCTATTAGTCTAAGTCAGAGGCGTTGTTGCTAGAGTGTAGTTAATCCTCTGGACTTAGGGCTATATGTCGGTCACGATAGATAAGTGAAGGAGTTTAAGGGATAATAAGTTGCGTGTAAATGCTTAATAGAGTCCGTGGTATATTTCTAAGTATTTTGGGATAAGTTTTCGGCTAAGTCGATGTCGGAAACTCGTTAACTAATTAATTTGTATTCGTGGGTCACGTGTATGATCTGGGTATCATTAGGATTCCCCAGTCGATGCGTGTGATATTTTCTAGTTTTTACCAGTAAGACGGTAAAATTGTGTTTGTAGACTTAGAATTCTGTTTTCAGTAGAAACGTAGGTGGAAAATTTTCTAAGTCCAGCTTGGGCTAGAATCTGACTTTTTGGCGGAAATGGATTTTCATGTTTCGTGTATATTCTGGGGTCAGTATTACTCTCTAGTGCGCGCAAGGGACGTAATTCTGTTCGTAAAGCATTAAACAGTGATAATTACATTTTTGCCGAATTTAGTTATTTTTCGAGAAAATCGTGTCGTAATTTTGTCAGAGTCCATTTGAGGTGAAAATCTCGGATTTTGACGAAAAATCGAATTAGTGAGTGTTGAAACCGCCCGATGTGTCAGTATTGTTCTGTATACAACGTCAGTAGTAAATAATAACGTATTTATATCTGGGAACGAGAAACCCAAATTTTTGTGAATTAAAGGAGTTTTGTGATATTTGGGGTGATAGAATATTTTTCCCTCTGAGTCAGAAAAATTGGCAGAGTCCAGCAATTGAGTAAAAACGCAGTTTTTGATAAAAATTCAATTTTTAGTAAGCATTTATAGGTCCTGGGTGTCTATATTAATCGCTAGAGCGGTTTATTAACGTAAAACTAGTTATTTTTCTTCAGAACAAAAATTTTGATTTTTCAGCGTTTAAGCGAAAAAGCGCGGGACTTAGTTTTTTTTCAGCGCAGCTGGTCCCGCTCCATCAGTCATCAGGGGCCACGCTGCTCACTTCAAGCGCGTTTAGTATTCAAGTACAGTAAATATTCTTTATTAATCCATCACGAGTGCTACGCGTTAGTTGCGTTATCATTTAAATTGTTTTATATAAATTAGATTCTTTAATTTTTTTAACGTAAAGGACTTAGGTTTCAGCAAGAGAACTGCGGGATATTCACGGGCAGACACGAGTGCGGGGCAGACACTCATTCATTGGATTCACTTCAGCGATTCTCTCGATAAATCGGTGTATTTCCTATTTTGGGAATTTAGTAGTTTTCTCTTAGAATAGAGTTGTGATTTTTTTATTTTGTGTAAGATCACGGTTGTAGTGAGTCCGGGTCGAGGGTGTACTAAAGGGTAGTTTAGAAGAGACGTGGCACACAAGGAATCACAGAAAATGTTTAACCCAGATAATGACCAGTCAGTGGGGACCAGTGGAAGTGGAAGTGTAGAGGACAGCACCTCTTCCGACACCACTGGGGACCACCTAGGTACACCTCATCCGTCACTACAACAACCCCAACCCCATCCTCAATTCCCATACCAACCCCATCCTCAATTCCCATACCAACCCCATCCTCAGTTCCCATACCAACCCTTCCCCCAACCCCAGGCCACTCCATACCCATTCCAACCCCAGGCCACCCCATACCCATACCCATTCCAACCCCAGGCCACTCCATACCCATACCCATTCCAACCCCAGGCCAACCCATACCCATACCCATTCCAGCCCCAGGCCACCCCATACCCACCCCAACCTCAATCCACACCCCAGCCTGAGGTCACCCACACCATACCTCAGCCTCAACCCCAACCTCAATCCACACCCCAACCCGAGGCCACCCACACCATACCTCAACCTAAACCTCCATCCACACCCCAACCCCAGGCCACCCACACCATACCTCAACCCCAACCCCAGGCCGCCACAGCCTTAGGCAGGCAGATGCGCACGGAGACGCCGGGCACTCAGTTGTCGCCATACGTAGAGGCGTTAAGTAAAGGCGAGGGAGCCAAGCCGAGGAACTGTGGCGCGGGTTCATCAGGCGGGAAGCAGCCCTCAGCTGCAAATTCGAGCCACCCTGCGCGGGGTACCAACAGAGATCCGCGGAGGTGTTACTCCTGCTGGAAGCGCGGGCATATACAGAGGGATTGCGAAGTCACTCCTACGAAAGCATGAAAGCAGGCTCCTAGTGATGGCAGGCCTACTTTTGAGGTGAAAGTGGAAGGTGTGAGATTGACAGCTTTTGTTGATACAGGAAGCCAGGCAACGGTAATTAAAAAGTCAGCCTTCAGCAATTTTAAGTATGCACGTCTTCAACGTTGCGCAAAGACATTAACAGCAGTCAATGGGGAAAAGATTGAGATCGTAGGTCAAGGTACTGTTAATTTTGAGATTGATGGGGAATTGCAGCCTCACACATGTACGATCGTAGAGAACCTTGATTTTCCTGGTCACATCTTAATGGGAACTGATTTTCTGTCGCGATTTAATTATTCCTTGTCTGCTCAAAAAGGGGCTAGGAACTGCAGGTTGCAGTTGGGACAGACTTCCTACCCAGTGGAGATGATCGACCATCCCCCAGTTGTAGCTTCAATTAAGAGGAAGCTGAAATATAATGCGCACTATCCAAAATTGATTTTTAAGTCTCTTCCAGACACAGTTAAGAGGTCATGCGCATTGCATGCATTGACCAAACAGAGTTGCCCACCACATTCTGTTAAATTTATTAAAGTAGCCGTGGGACGTCACATACAACCAGGTACCACCCTTCAGGTGGCTGGGAGATGTGATAGTTTATTAATTCCTCATCACTTAGTTGTAGTGCTCGATAAAGGTGCACTCATTCCAGTTGTCAATCTTTCACATAAGACTTTTCGCTTCAGGGCAGGTGATAGGGTATCTCAGGGAACCATGGTGGAGGACACAGAAATCTTTCACCATGAGTCAGCTGAGACGCCAGCCGTC